AGATTAAAATCTGATCTACGATGAGCAATCGGCCAACTAGTTGACTATAATAATTAGTAGATAGCTGTTTCCAACTGGGAATCGGTATAAATGGGGGATATCTGTGGGGTTCCAAGCTACTGATACGAGATATATTTATGAAAATTGATTAGCTTTATAATTATCAGAATTGATAAGCAAAACATTACAGCTGAGACGTATATATGATTAATTTGCCTTACTAGAAATCATATACACTTTGTCAAAAGATTAGATAAGGTGAATTATGGTTTGTTTTCATGTTTTTGTTTTTCAATCAATAGGGGGCGTGTTTGAATAGAACCATAAGCTGTTTGGCGCGTCTAGTGTAAAGGATATCTAAATATTAAGTTACGATATAGCTTGATATACAAATATAGATGAAGATATATATACATATATGTACATGTTAAGCTTGATATTGATCTGAATATAATTAATTATGAATGAAAGTATAAGTATTTTTGTTTTATTTAACCGGAATTGCCCGGCCTTGCCTGCGGAAGGGTTTGTGCTACCAATTTTAGAAGTTATCTTATCACGTCACGTATCTAATGATTCTTCTTATAGATCTTTGGAAATAAGTTTGAACACGAAACGGAAAATTTCAGCTACTTAGCTCTGACAGTTTAAAAACAAAATCTATCTATCAAAGTCAGGAGAAGGCATTTTTCGTGCAAGTGAGGAAAACATTCCAATCGCCTTCTTGCCGCCTTACAATAGCCTGAAGGGACTGACCTGTAAGAAGTTGGAAAGGAGGGAAGGTGGAAAAACTTTATGCCCCAAGAATTCATACATTCTCACTAGACATTAGTGAAAATTTTAAAGCAAAGCTTTGCAGGGACAGCTAGACACCAGAAAATGCGAAAACAAGAAGACTTTTCTTTAAGAAATGCCGCAGTAGAACGTACTGGACCAAAGTACTGGAAAAATCGACCAGAAAACTCCCCAAAACAATTACAAATTGGGCAAGAACTTAAGTTAAATCTATTATGGTCTCAACATCTACGAACCACAGGCTTAAAGACAGTTGATAATGTTTTTCAAATGAATTACAATCTTTTAAAACTATTTAAGCCACAAATTCCAAAGTGTGCACATCATCATTAATAAAGAGGATACCAACGTCAGTCCAGCAGCTCCATTCCTCTGGGCCAGAAAGCTGACCAGCTTGCCCAAGCGCTGCTCTGCCCATTGCACATTCGAGTCCACCGTGGCCAGTGCCTGGCTAAGTGTGACCGCGGAGCTGCCGAACAGCGTCTGACTCTCCTTGTAGAAGTTCGAGAACAGCTGCTGCTGCTCCCGCGTGGTGAAATAGTCCGTCAAGTCGCTCAGCGCCTGGGCAGTCTTCGGCCAGCTCTCCAAGCTGCAATTGATCAAGTGTTATCTAACTAATTTGGAAGTGCCAGAAACTAAAGCTACAAAAGAACTTACGCCTCAGCCAGTTGTGCGATGTCCTCGGTTATCATTTGGAAAATGGGCGTCACCAGGTCGGGATTCTGCTCGTACAGCTGAGCCAGGCCAGCAATCTTCAGGTCCACGCTGTTGCCCTTGCCCAAGATCTCGTTCTGGTAGTGCGTCCGATAGTCCCTCGTACAGCTGGCGGCGCGCCAGTATATCTCTCTGTCTATATAGTTAGTTTCCTTTGCATAGTATTCCAATATGCGAGAATATCCGCCAGATCTGGAGGCTGCGCAGTAGAATGTCTCCCGATAGTCTGGAGATGGCTTTTCCATGCCGCCTTCAAATAACTCCTTTACCTGGTTAGTGCAGTTGGAATTCTGGTACTTGCAGAGCCAGGCGACCTGCTGGTTGCGATTGTAGACATCCAACACCTTGTCCCCGGAAGTCCAACCGACACCCAGTTTATCGAGGACCGTAACTGCGATATCACTTAGATACTTGTTAAAGTTGGGCAGCTGCTGTGGGGTCAAACGCTTTGCTATCCTTTCCATACCCACATATGCCGCATACCAGGGTATATATTCGGTTTCTGTGCTCATGTACTCCATGAACTCGAAGACCTCCACATAATCAATCAATCCAGCGAGGGCAAAGTTGAAGAGATCGTCAATAATCGCTGCACGATTCAGTCTTGGTCAGGGCTACTTGAATCCGTCCAAGCAGCGGTTCGTTGTAAAAAACTCGGTAGTAGTTGGCTTGTTTTAGATTAACGATAACCCAGTCAATGGGCTCGTCCGACCAGTAGTTGTAATCATTTGATTTTTTTATGTAAAAAGCGGGCGTTAGATTTTGGAAATTGGGCGACAGATTTGTGGTGTAGGTGATGGGCACCGTGTAGCGCAGTGTGGGATCGCTACCATCGCTGGCATTCAACAGAAAGCGTTGCTGTTCCCAAGATAACATATGGTCTTTCAGACTCAGGCTCACTATGATCCGTGGGTAGCCCACCTGTATAGTGAAGTCGTAATAGGATTGATTTAATACGCTCTCCTGCACAGGCCAGTGATCGTTGAGAAGTACATATAAGCCAGTGGGCGACGTACTGCTCAAGTAGCTAGTGAAGAAAATTCAAGTAAGATATATTGGGCTTAATTTAAGGCATTTGTACTTACTAATGCTGGAGGAATTCTTGGATGGCCAAATTAAAGTGCTCCTCACCCATTGCGATGCGCCACATACGGATGACACTAGCAGCCTTATCAAATGTGAGTTTGTCGAACTTGTAGTCAATATCCGCAGGTGTGAGGATGCTCCCTAACGGGCTGGTCATAGGCTGTGTGAAATTTTGAGAATCCCTCAAAAGGGCATTATGAAGCTTGTGCACAAGAAATTGCTGGTCAAGCTGATATTCCGGGTATAGCTAAAACGAAATTTGTGGTATATTAAAGACATTTTGATATCTAAGCTTATAGACTCTAAGGCAACCTCGTGTCCCATAAAGAATTCATAATAGCGGGCGAATCCCTCATGCAACCAAATGTAACTCCACCATTTGCATGTGACGCTGTTGCCGAACCACATGTGCGCGTTCTCATGGACTATGTTGCGAATGGTGAACTCCTTCTGCGTCCAGCCATCCGTAACGCCTGGCTGTTCCAGGACGACCTTATCCCTGAAGCATTAAAGGAATTGTATGAGCTTAAGCCGCGTTCGTTATCTTTGTCCCTGGCTAAACGTACTTGAATATGACCAGGCCCCAGTTCTCCATGCTGTTGTGGGGAAAACGAGGTGTGGTTGCATACTGCAACAGCTCGTTCCCTAGCTGCTGATAAGATTGCTGGAACATCTCACCGAATGCGGGAAGCACGCGCTCTGCCACGCTGTAGCTGAACTCCGTGTAGTTGTAGTACGCCGGACGGGTTAATATGGACAACGAGCTGTTGCCCCGTGCCTGGTACTCGGAGACCACGAAAGCCAACAGATAGGTGGACATGATGGGCGTAACCTTGAAGTGATCCGTAAAGCGATTATTCCTGCAATTTTAAATTGGTTTAAATGTATCCTCTGAAGGAACTATCCGTTGAAGCATACCCCTCGTCTGTAGTTCTGGTTAATTCCGTGTTACTGACGACGCTCAAACCACTTGGTCGGCCAATATGCACCTCGAACTTGGCCTTGAGGGCGGGTTCGTCAAAGCAGGGAAAGACCAGGCGTGCGTTGATGGGTTGCATCTGAGTCAATAGCACCCATTTGGTCTTCATCGTAGCCTCGTCTATATAGCTGGCGGAGAAAAGACCCACTGTATCGGACTGAACTTTCCCGGTATACTTGAAGTACAAGGTGTAGTTGGCCTCGACAGCTAAGGACTGCGTCAGGGGCACTGTCAGCTGCTGTGTCTGCTCTTCAGTCGTCAGCCGAGCGTTAAGTCCACTCTCCACCAGCTGGTCAGCAGCATCATAGAGTGAGCACTCTTCTATATTGATGGATATATCATTGTGCAGCGTGATTTCCTTCACATCTGCCAGCACCGCCTTCAAAGTAATGAAGACCTCGCCATCGAACTGCGTACCAGGGTTGTCGGCATCGCCGCGTAGACCTATGGTTAGGTTATAGAAGATAGGCACTACGCTGCCTTCGAGCCGATAGTTGAGGGCGCACTCATTGCTCCCGATCCAGGCTAATAAGAGAAGAGCTATTAAGGGCCAAATTCGGATTCGACAACTGTTCATGTCGAAGGCGGTTCCAAAACTGATTTTTGTTTCGGTCAATTCTGATCAGGTTGACTCGTACTCTTTTCCGCATAATAGGTGATTTTGTTGAAAGATAAGATTAAATTCAGAGCCACGATGAACAATAGACCAACTAGTTGAATTTGACACATGGTTGCTAACTGTGAATCGGTTTTCTTACAATCTTGGGAAGGATTACAAATCGGTTGTCAGTATCAGAATTGATAAGTATTTACGTCAATGTATATATGCTAACGGATGTTACTTAGAAATAATATTGTCACCTTGTTGGCTGATTAAATTATACGAATTTCGCCGATTCGTTTTTATCGAGGTGTATGTATTGTCTTAGAAGCTTAAGTTATATGCAGAGATATAGGTACTAAACATTTATATGTCATTATTAAAAATATGAATATGGATAAGGGCGATAAATAAATTAAGCAATTGGCTCGATTACACAGATTAAAATATATATATATATATATTAAAATAAATATATATATATATATATAGTATATATATATATATATATATATATATATATATATATATATATATATATATATATAGCAATCGGAACATCGACAGTAAATTTGTGAAAGGATGTTGGAGTTTCCTTAAAGTAGATGTGCGAGGCAAAAGCTTTTGAAGAACTTTGACCTAACGCTGACAATTCTTTACTTTCAGCGAACTAAAGGCGTCATGAAATTCAGTTGCACGACATGCTAGGGACTAAAAGGGACCAAAACCGTGGGCCTATAACATTTATGTCAACCAGCTAGAGACAATCGAAAAACATACAATAATTGCTTAATTATAAAATGTCGAATGAAAAGATCTTGTGTGTTTGGTATAGAACATAAAAATGATTTATTTTCATTCCTATCCAAGCAGGAAAGTCAAAAGTGGGGTCATCACCAGCAAGGCCGACACCAAGGTCAGTCCAGCAGCGCTGTTTCTCTGGCCCAAAAAGGCGATCAGCTTGCCCAAGTTCTCCACTGTCCAACTCACATGCTTGTCCACGTTGGACAGTGCTTCGGTAAGTGTTTCCGCCGAGCTGCCAAAAAGGTTTTGGTTTTCATCAATGAAAGTGGAGAAGAGCTGCTGCTGCGTCCGTGTGGTAAAGTAGTCCGACATACTGGCCAGCGCCTCGGCAGTCTTCGGCCAGCTGTCCAAGCTGTAATTAATAGAGTGGGATGTTATTTTTAAATAAATACAAACTCTAGTTGGAATCTTTTGAGGATCTTACGCCGTAGCCAACTGTGTGATGTTCTCAGTTACGGTAAGGAAAATCTGTGTTATCATGTCGGGATTCTGCTCGTACAGCTGTGCCAGGCCAACCATCTTAAGGGATACGCTGTTGGCGTTACCTAAGATCTCCTTTTGGTAGTGCGTTCGATAATCTCTTGTACAACTGGCAGCGCGCCAAAGAAGTTCTCGCTCGGTGGGATGGGTTTCGTTCGCATAGTATTCCAAGATGCGTGCATAGCTGCCCGATCTGGAGGCTGCACAGTAGAACGTCTCTCGATAGTCTGGCGATAACTGTTCGGAGCTGCTTTCAAACTTTTCGCGCACCTTGCTGTTGCAATTCTGGTCCTGATATCTGCAGAGCCAGGCCACCTGCTTGTTGCGATTGTAGACATCCAACACCGTGTCGTTAGCCCTTAAACTGACACCGAGGCTTTTCTGTACCGAAGCTGTGATATCGCCAAGATATTTGCCGAAATTGGACAGATGCTCTGTGGGTAAGCGCTTGGCCACGCGTGCCATGCCCTCATAGGCCGCATACCAGGGCACATAATCGACTTCCCCACTCATATACTCCAGGAACTTAAAAATGTCCGCGAAATCAAGCATTCCAATGTATGCAAAGTTGAAGAGGTCATTAATGATTGCCGCACGATTCTCGACTGCGATCTCACTGTGGTTGCTCTTCGTTAGAGCCACTTGGATGCGATTCAATAGCGATGGCTCATAGTATACGCGATAATAGTTAGATTGTTTTAGATTGAACACAATCCAGTCAATGGGCTCAGGCAAACTCAACTGCACAAAATCCACAGACTTATCGAAGTACGTGTAGGGTGTTAGATTCTGGAAGTTGGGCGACAAGTTCGTGGCAAAGGTGATGGGCACCGTGTAGCGTAAATTAGCATCGCTGCCATCACTTGGATTCAGCAGGAATCGACGTTGCCGCAAGGTGATCGTGCTGTGCTCCCAGCTAATGTTCACCATGATCGTTGGAAAGCCCACCTGCTCGGTGAAGTCATAAAAAAACTGATCTAAGCTTATATTGACAGCTGGCCAGCTCGTCTTGAGATGTGTAAACAAATCTTTGGGTTCTGTGTTACCCAAGTGACTAACCGAGAGAAGAGATATGAGATTTATGGGTGTAGATATAAGGAACGAGTACTCACTGCTGCTCGAGGTATGTACGGATGGCCGTATCAAAGTTGGCACCGCCCATAGCATTGCGCCACATGCGAACTATGCTGGCGCCCTTGGCGTAGGTAATGCTGCTGAATTTGTAGCCGATTTGGGAAGGTGTTTGTATGCTCGCCTCCGGGCTGGTCAGCGGCTGGGTGCTGGCCCTGGCATCGGTTGCAAAGATCAACTGAAGCTGGCGTACAACAAACTGCTCGTCTAGTTGATACTCTGGGTGCAGCTGTTGCAAAAAGAGCGTGGTATGCGTGGCATATATCTGAACTGATATTTCTTCCATATATATGCTTACCTGATGCGCCATGAAGTACTCGTAATAGCGTGCAAATGCCTCGTTCAGCCAGAAGTAACTCCACCAGGAAAAGGTCACGCTGTTGCCGAACCACATGTGCGATGTCTCGTGAGCCGGAATCCGTATGGTATGCTCCTTGTCATTCCAGCCGTCTGTGTAGTACGGCTCATGCTCCAGCACGGTATCTCTGAAAAGTAAAGCCATATGTTGATTATTAAGATGCGGTGCAGGAAAAAACGGTTAAATGCACCTATGGCTAAAATGATCGTGCTTAATTTTGAACCTATTGATCCTAAAGTTTCCATATAAAATAGTCTAATACAGCTTTGCAGATATGCGAGGAGATAGTGAAGCTCTTGATAGCCAAAAAGCAAAAAAGTTTTCCATGATATTAGATAATGTAACAGATAATAGATGGCTTGTCTTTATCTATTTAAGAGAGGAGTACAGATTCAGATTACCTTCTTTTTAAAAATAGATATTACTCATGGACTTATTTGACGCTGTGGTATCTTCTAGTTGGTCTCTGGCTTGGCACTTACTTGTAAATAATGAGACCCCAGTTCTCCATGCCATTGTGTGGAAAGCGCGGCGTGGTCGCATGCAACAGGATTTGGTTGCCCAAATCCTTATAGGAGTGCTGGAACAGATCGCCGTAGGCATCCAGTACACTTTTGGCCACATTGTAACTAAACTCGGTCTTGTTATAGTCTTCTGGCCGAGTTATCACTGCAATTTCGCTGATATTGCCACGTGCCCGGTACTCGGAGACCATGAATGCCAATAGGTAAGTGGACATTGGGGGCGTCACGTCAAAGTGATCCGTAAAGCGATTGTTGCTGTAATTCAAAATTAATCAAGTATAAGCAGGCTCGGGCATTATCTTCAATTTTGTAACTTACCCCTCGTCAATTGTTTCGATTAGCTTCGTATTACTGGTCGCATTCACGCCGCCTGCCCGGCCAATGTGCAACTGGAACCTGGCCTTGAAGGCGGGCTCGTCAAAGCAGGGGAAGACCAGGCGTGCATTGATGCGCTGCAGCTGCGTTAGGAGCATCCACTTGGTTTGGCCCGTCTGCTGCTCCACATAGCTGGCGGAATACAGGCCCGTCATGCCGCTCTGCACTTGTCCAATGTACTTAAAGTGCAGCGTGTAGTTCCTGTTGAGGGTCAATGTCTGCGCCAGATGCACAGTCAGCTGCTGTGTTGGCTGGTCATAGGTAAGCGAGCTCTGCGCAATATCCTCCAATAGATCACCAGTATCATTATATAGCCAGGCACCATCTGCTATTTCAATGTCATCCTTGTGCAGCGTGATATGCTGCACATCTGTCTGCACCGCGTGCAGCGTTATTTGCACCTCGCCATCGAATGTTGTGCCTGGATTATTGGCATCGCCCCTCAGACTTATGGTCAGGTTGTAGAATGTTGGTAATACGTTGCCTTCCAGCCGATAGTTAGCGCAACCAACGCCGGCAAACAGGGCAATCAATGATAGAAGGCCGACGTGCAGCCAGTTGCCCGGTCCAAAACTGTTCATGCCGAGAGCAGGTACAATACTGAGCAGATACTCATGCTAAAACAAAAATGCTAAACAATCAGCCAAGCACAGATGATGTCGCTTTTTTGTTGATTAGATAACACGGACAATGGGTGTCGATGCGATGATTAGCCACACCCCGCACAGCAAAGTGGTTCTTGTAGTTATTTGGGTTGTACTTGTCGCAAAACAGTGTAAGACAAATGCTACTCTTAACCCTAGGCCTACCTATTTGTTGACAAAAGGCTATTTACATGTAAACAACTAATAACAACAAATTTCCATATATATATATCAAGCATTAACTGCTTGTATTTGACATATGTACATTCCTTAACCGATCTGAGCACGGTTTGCTTTTAAAAAGGTTTGCTAACCAGTTTTGAATGGAATTACGAGATTTGACTGTTTTCTTGTTGTATGGAATATTTTAGCATAATTGCGCAATTTACTGAGTGTAAAACCTAAACACTTCTAAATTGACGTACATTGTTTATGCACATAAGAATAGATAAGCATATATATAAACCTATTCATATAACCTTATCAAATGTTCTCTCGATGATGCTGATAATCTAAAGAAAGTCCCCCTAACTGTACTCATATGTCTTATCGCTGTTAATAATAAAAAAAAAATAAATTTGTATAAAAGCTAACTGACTGGTTCGATTATTATTATTATTAGTTTTATAGAGTATATTTGTAATGGGTATAATAGTTTTGTGCAAATCTATGGAGCAAGCAGAAGGAAGAGTCTCCAAACCCATATTTTTGCTCATCCGGGTCGATCTACTCATGTCCCTCCGTATGTGTATGCGTATGAGACTATAAGAGTTATAGACTTGAAATCATGGATGGCATACCTTTTTTCCATGCGTATCTAATAGCTTATAAGAGCTTTAGATGCAACTTTTGGGTTGAAGACCTTGGTATGGTGTTCCGGATCTTTTTTAACTTTTTATACATTTCCCTGTTCCCCCAAATATATTCTTAATGTTCACATTAGACTAAGATAAACAACGTTTCTTATGAACTAATGATCAAAAATTATAGTTATAATGTATTGAAGAAGTTTAAAGCCAATGAAAGTAGTTCCTAGTTGCAGAGCAAAAATAATATTCAGCATAATTTGCAGAGTGTGATCAAATGTAAAATTGAAAACTATAAAACATGAGTCCCCTTCCATAAAGATTAAATAAAATTGTAAAATTTTTTATTGTAAGTTTTAGCCGATAAATGTAGTTTTACTCAAAGCCATCTTATCTGGCTTCTTTATTGCCTCTTGAACAGGCGGTAATTGTACAAATACTTTTTGTTGGACGAATACCCCAAATGCAGTTGGCAATTGGCTAATCTTGGCCTTAACGCAGCAACGTGACCAGGGCCACCAGCAGCAGGGTGAGCAGACTGAAGCCGCTTAACATGGCGCTGCCGTTGCGTTGGGCCAAATATGTGCGGAATGTGCCCAGCTTGGATGTGGCCCACTCCAGATTCTCCTTCACGGTCGCCTCGGCTGCTAGTAATGTGGCTGCCGAGCTTCCAAACTTGGCGCTGTTCGCGTTATTGAAATTTTGCAGCTCCTCGTACTGCGACTGCTCCGTGAAGCGTGCGGCAATGTTGGAGATGACTGTGGCCACCGAGGAGTAGCCACCCATGCTAAGTGCGGCAAAGCAGAAAAAAGAAAGATATTTAGATATGCTAAATAGGTTGGCAAGTCAGCTGGTTACTTACGCAACGGCCAGTTCCTCGAATCGTTTGGTGACCAGTTCGAAGACGGGGCCAACATTCTCGTTGTTCTCAGTGTACAAGGTGCTGAGCACTGAGGATTTGTCCTGTCGTCGAATCTCATCAGACACCGTCAGATTGAAGACACGTTCGATGAGCGTGTTTTGTTTCACACAACCGAATGAGTTCTGCAAAAGTGTTTCCTCTGTGGCCACCTTCTCGGTCTTGAATTTCTCATACAAAGCCTCAAACTCAGCGCTGCCGCCTTCGCGCAGCGCCACACAGTAGACCACGGAGCGTATGTTCTTGGGCACAGTGGACAGCGATTTGAAGTGGCTCTGTGCCTTGCTAATACAATCGGCATTGCCAAAGCGACAGCTCCAGGACAGAACCTTGGTGCGCAAATAGATATCGAGTGCGTCGTCATTAGAGGTCTCATTAAAGCCCAGCTGGTTATAGGCCTTGTTGGTCAGCTGCCGAATGTAGTTGCCGAAATGGGCGGTGTCTGTGCCCAGTCGTATGGCCAAGTAGTTGAAACCATTAAACGCCGCTGTCCAGGGTATATAATTGGTTTCCGTTTCCAGATACTCCAACACCTGCAGTGTCAGATCGTAAAGAATATGTCCAGCGCGGGCCAAATTGAGCAAATCGTCAACCACCTGGGCGCGATTCACCTCATGTATATCGCTCCAGTTGGTGCTGGCGAGCGCGGCATGAATTGCATGCCAATTGCTCTCAGTGTAATTGACACGATAGTAGCCTGTCTCCTGAATGTTGGCCAGCACCCATGTGACTGCATTGGTGAATGTAACTGTATGTGGCGTGCTCGCTGCCAGCACAAACTTCGGCTTGGTGTCCGCAAAATTCTTCTCCAGGCTGGTAGTGTAGCTAATGGGCACCGTGTATGTCAGACTAGCATCTGCGCCATCGTTTTCCTTAAGCAGGAAACGCTTTTGACTGAACTCAACACTCTTGCCATCACTGCTCAGCTTGGCATTGATCAGTGGATAGCCCACCTGGGTGGTAAAGTTGTAAAAGATGTGCTCCGAGCTGCTGTTGAATCGATCATTGGGCCAATTGGCCTGCCAGGCGCCCAGCAAATACTCCGGCACCGATGACTGATATTGGCTGTGGATGGCAAAAACTATTACTATCTGTGGCCAAAACAAGCAAGAGTGCTCTAGTTGGGAGTGCCCGACTAGCCCGACTACCCTGTACCACATCGCGCTACCTTTATAAGAATTCCGATCTTAATAAAATTTGTACTGCCTTTACAAGGCTTTAGCTTTAAAAATGTGTTTTTTTCCCCAATTTTTGGTAGAAATAGGAAAGGATGTATCAAGAAAAGTTCAACACTTTAGATCTATGTATAATTAATGAGAACCTACATACCTTGCTCTTAGCTCTTGAAAAATATTATGAAAATGGGTTATACTCGTTTTGCCTAACGTGAAAAAGTATATTGTTGTACAATTTCATTCTCTAGCTCTTGTAGTTTGATAGAACGTTAGAAAGTTGACTCAGAAGGTTAGACTAAAAAACTCGCCGCCCTGATCAAGATACAAGGTGAGTGGATATATACTTCCTTGTGTCTATTACACCCTCTTTACCTATTTTAAATGTAGACATGGTATAACAACTGTAAAATTTACTTACTATTTGACAAGATATTCCTGCAGCGATTTACGGAAATTCTCAGAGCCCATGGTATGCTCAATCATGCGTATAAAGGTGGCACCCTTGTTATAGGAGATGCTATTGAACATGCGGCTCAGGTGAGCTGGCGTATAGGTATCTAAATCGCTTAGGGGATTTGTGGCATTGGTGGAGTCCATGGCCATTACCGATTGTATTTGATCGACCACAAACTGTTTCTCCAGTTCCCATTCGGTTTCGACAAAGGCAGTACCAAAGTATTGGAAGTAACGTGCAAAGCCCTCATTCAGCCAGGTGTAGCTCCACCATTTGCAGGTAACCAGATCACCGAACCACATATGCGCCTGTTCGTGGGCGACAACTGCAGCAATTGACTGGCGGGAAGAGAGCGTCGTGGCGGACTCATCCACCAGCAGGCTGCGCTCTCTGTAGGTGAGCAGACCCCAGTTCTCCATGGCGCCTGCTGAGAAATCGGGTATGGCAGCCATATCCATTTTATCATTGCCCAGCGTATAGTAGCTCAAGTTCAAGTATGTGCCCATCTCCTCCAGAATCAGACGACCCACATTGAAGCTGTATTGCGTCTGCGGATAGAACTCGGGACGAGCCAGGACACCAAACTGGTCATCCTTGCGTACGGTAAACTCGGAGATGATAAAGGCCAGCAGATATGTTGACATTTTGGGCGTGGTATTATACACATCCAAATAGTATTCGCTAGTTTAGGAATATAGTTAGTAGAGCATCTTCAGGAATTCACCCATAACTTACTTATTGTCGGTGGGTGTGCTGGACAGTTGTCTGGTATTACTAACCGAGGTGAAGGTGCGATGACGTTTCAGGGTCACATCGAAGGTGGCCTTGAACTGCGGCTCATCGAAGCTGGGAAAAGCGCGACGTGCATGATTTGTCTGGAACTGTGTGGAGCCCAGCCATCTGTTAAAGGAAAATTAAAGCAAGCCACATTAGCTCCTCCCAGCTTGGCAACAAACAGAATCAAACCCACTTGGTCTCATTGTTGTCATTCACATAGTAGCTGCGATAGAAACCATGCATATCATCCTGCATCAGACCCGTATAGACGAAATGCAGTATATAACGTTGACTGGCCTCCAGATCCACTGTCACAGTCAGATTTCTAACATCCGTTTCATCGCTCTGTGACACTAAGGTCTGCGCTGTGCGAGTGACTGTGGCGCCCTCTGTCGCCGGCTTGGTCCAGTATTCGCTGAGCGAATAGGTCAAATTTTTCGAGTGCAGCACCACATATTTTGTTTTTACCACTGGCTCAATTTCAATCCAAACCTCACCGTCAAAGGTAAAACGCTTGTCGCCATCGCTTTCCAGCAAATACGGGCGCAACGATATGTTATAGTTAATGGGATTAATGATCTCCGGCAGTCTGTACTCAGAGTTTTCGGCGGCATAGCTGGTCGGTGGCTGCAGGTCCAGTTGCTGGCGTGGCGCCGCGAGCACAGCGCACAGGCAGGCAGCCCAAAAGACAGCCAAGCGCAGGGCAAACATTGGGATTTTCCATCGATTAGCGGTTCCCATAATTAATAGTCCAACTATTTCACCACACGTTATGCAATTGCTAGGCACTTACTTTCGATTCTTCTTGTCACGACTAGAATATTTTTCGCACAGCCTGCGGCACGCGATTCGAAAACTTAACTAAAGTCAGCTGCCAATCGACGGTACTATATATGAAGCCTTTAAATGGCTATAACAGCGATTTATCTCTAACCTTAAAACATTTTATTTGACTCAAGATAAGTGCGCATTGCTTATAGATTATATGACGATTACGATGAGGCTCCGATAAGAGAGTCAGGCGTTGATTTACGCCCTCCGTGTGCATTTGCCAATTAAAAACTTAAGCATGGCCGACAGTTATATATTGATAGATTTAATGCTGGACTTTAATCCAGTTGCCATAACGGATATGACTCAGAGCACATAGATCTTCGAATTGGGGAAAAACTGTTTAATCGAACAATCTTTTTATACCTCGGACCTATTAAATTGGAAAGTAATAACTGTGAGAAGAGCTGGTAAAATGCTATGTTCGCAATGAAGACATGTCTGATCCTATGTATTCACTACTTGATTAATGATATACTATTCCAGTCCAGTTTTGAAGAAATAGAGATAGCAAGCTTTATCTGCAAAATGTTCTCTTGTTGATATTTAAAGATTAGAATTAGGTATTAACAAATCTTAATATACATGTGTTATAGAAGCTGTCAAAGATGGACAAACAATGCTCGCTTTACTTAAATGGTTCTAACGATCAGAACATTAACAAAAATATATAAAAACAAAAATTCTTTATAAATATGCATATACTTGATTCTCTTTTAAGTCCAATTTACGACAACAGGGTATATAAATAATCTTTGCAAAGATAATGCTTTTATTAGCACATATATTTTTACCTTTCATCCTGGTGTGCTAGAAATATCATTGTGATCAGATAGCAGGCACTTCAACTTAATCTTCGATCAAATATGCCATGTATATGTTATTCTTAATTAACTATATATTTTAAAGCATTTTATACCATACGATTATTATATTCTATATTTTAGTATATAGTTTGGGTATTAATCATTACAAAATAAAAACTATATTCATACATTAGGAATTTGAAATGAGTCACTTTGCAACTTATTTACCCTAAAGTGTGTTCATACATGTTTACATATTTCTCTGTAAGTGATAGTTGCTTGAAATAAAATGAACGAATCTTTATCTAATCGCTCCAATCATAAATTGAAAATATAAGAGGCATTACATGCAATTTTGTCTAATAAAATAATATTATGAATTGTAGTTTTTATGACCAATAAAATAATGGTGATATGGAGTTTGTTTCTAATCTATCGCCTGCGTCTAGACCACTCGGAAAGAAATGCTGCTTACTATGGAAATTTTTTCAAATTCGAATTCGATGCATTTCACGAAATAATGTTGTACATAAATCTTAATGGAATTCGAAATATAAATAGGATTTTAGATGTCATTCAATAGCGAAAACCTAAATTCAATGTCAGCAGCTGATTAAAAATAGAAAATGGCGCTTGTCACGAATGGATAAGCCAATTGCCGATTGTTCGTTATCGTTATCGTTATCGTCATCGATGATTTATACTTAACTGTTATTGTTGCCATGCGATCGTATTGCTCGTATCGAGCTATTTATGATGAACATAAACGTAAAATTTCTGGTAAAAAGAAAATGTTCCTGCCCGAAAGCTTCATAAATACTATAATATTTTTGCTTAAGAGTAAATAATAGTTTCTTATCGGGCTACATAGAGCTATAACACTCATAATAAACTGAGCGACATAATCTTAAAGTATTTGGCAATGACATTACCATTTTTTTTATTAGCAAACGGAAATGTAAAGAATTTGTGTATATACATAGCTGCGAAACGAGGAAGACCTTAAGCTAACTTAGTAGCTCCTTAAATAATACCTAGAACAATTTAGCGGCCAAAAAGCACAGGGCTAGGGCCAGCACAGATGCGGTCATAGCGGGACTGCCGTTGCGGAAACCAGTTACCCAGGAAATGATGGGCTCCCGATTGGTCGACAGCCACTCCATGTTGGCCGCAATGGTGGTATCCACGCTGTCTTGCAATGTGTCGGACACAAATTCAGAGCCTTTGACCGTATCGATCAGTAGCTGCAGCTTTTGCTTTTGACTCTCGGTAACCACATAGGCAGCCATGCTCTCAATGTCAGCGGCTAGTGGATTATTACCACCAAAGCCAGGATTCAGATTGCCATACTCCTGCCAATGCTCGAGCAAGAAATCAATGCAGACGAGCAGACCGACTTCACCACGAGAATAGGTGGGACTGAGCAACGTGTAGCGCTCCTGGGTGCGCAGCTTGTTGGACTGATCAATGCTGCTGGACACATACTTCATCAGCTGATCCTCGTTTTGGGAACAGCCCAGGGCTGAGATGAGTAGACGGCGCTCGGCCTGATCGTTGGAGTCCATTAATTTATCATAGACAAAGTTAAATGTCTTATCATCGGCCTGCTTGAGGCCATTGCAGTAGACGGGCGTCTGTAGATTCGGTTCAATCGGAGTGCCCTGATTGACCAACGCCTGTAGCTTAACGTTTGTCTCGTCCAGACAACTCTTCAGACCCGCCAGACAAGCCAAATTGATGACCACGTTGCGGGTAAACTTGACCAAATGTTGCTCCCCATCGATGTCATTCACGCCAAATTTGTCGAATTGATCGCTGACCAATGTGGCGACATAGAACTGGAAATGTTCGTAGGACTCATCGCTGCTCAGATACCGATCGAACAGGGTAATCGCGGTATTGGCCGCTGACCAGGGTGCATATTGATTCTCTTGCGGCAGGTAGGTGAGCAGCTGCAACAGCAGAGCATGTGACAAGCGATTGCTCGTAGCGAAACGATATGCATCGCTGATCAGTTGGGCGCGATTACGAGGGTGAATCTTATGCGAGCGATTGGCCAAACCCTCAATAATCAGCTGCCAGTTGCGCTCATCGTAATTGATGCGATAGTAACCTGTCGACTGTTTGTTCAGGATCAACCAATCATCGTTGGTCAGCTGGGCGTCGGCAACGCTCTTCTCCGTCTCATTGAGCAGATAATGTGTGGCCTCAGTATTTCGGAAATCAGGATTCGATGCAACCGCATAGTTAACAGGCACATACCAGAGCTTCTCGCTCGTAAATGTCTTATCGTTGGTATACTGCTCCTGCTTGATGGTGAAGGAGCCATTGTTATAGTTGCGCTCCACAGTGATCAGTGGGACACCACCCTGTCGCGTCCAGCTGGAGAGCATGTCTCCGACGAGAGCCGGCACAGCATAGTTCAGCTCGCGGGCGGCCAGCGAAATGGCATCAAATAGATCTGTCTCATTGGCAGCAGAGTAGGCCCTAGAAGATACATGTTTTCATGATTTTTCCGTTGCAACTTACAGAAATCCACTTACTTGGTCACTAGATAGTTGTGCAGACCTTGCTGGAACACGGTGTTGGTCAGCGCATGCCTCCACATGTCTAGGACCGAGCCAGCCTTGGCATAAGCAATGGAGTCATAGAGCTGGGAAATTTCCGAAGGCTTCTCCACAAATGTTGTCATGGGTCGCACATTGGGGTTGGCATCAGCAATGAGAGCGCTCTGATAAGAGCCAGCATGGAAGGTTTGGAATATATCCCATTCTGGATAGGCCTTGGACAGAAAATCAATTGAAGTTAGGAATAGGGTAATCTTCAGCTAGCCACTAGGTCACTTACCAAATGAACGGCCAGATTCTCAAATAGCGTGGCAAAGCCCTCCTTGAGCCACAGATAGCTCCACCATTCGATGGCAACCAGGTCACCAAACCACATATGTGCATCCTCATGCGCCTCGATTGTGGCAATGTTCGTCTGCGTATTCGTAGTAGAGTTTTCGATATTGTACAGCAAATACTCCTCACGATAGGTGGCCAGACCCCAGTTCTCCATGGCACCAGCTGCAAAGTCAGGTATAGCCGCCTGATCCAGTTTAGGTAAAGCAAAAGGCACACCGAAATAGCCGGAGAGTCGCTTCTCGACCAGCATGCCTGTAGTCAGTGCCCATTCCTGCTCATGCTCGGTGCCCTTGCGCGAGAAGACACGCTGGGGCAACCCATTCAGCTCACCCTCCGAGTACACAAACTCCGATACAATGAAGGCCACCAGATAGGTGGGCATCTTGACAGAGGTCTTGAAAGCTGTAATACCGGAGCTAAAAAAAGTAACAAGGAATTAAATAGGAATCCAGTTGATATTCCATAGGGATTTCTTAATAATTTCATTGCAATTTCGTAGAAGTTCTCAAGGAATTTCGTAAAAATTCTATAGAAATTTAATGGGAATACCTCAGGTGAGGTTTTCACATTTTGGCTGGCATAACAAACCTGGTCTTAGAGTCATCCACTGGCATATTGCTGATAGCATTGTAGCTGGGATCGTGATGGATGGTAATCGTAAAGTTGGCCCGCTTGGCTGGCTCATCATAGCAAGGGAAGGCGTGACGTGCATCGGTGCTCTCGAACTGTGTGGTGGCCAAGTATTTGGTAGCACCATTCTCATCCGTATACTTGGATAAGTAGAAGCCCCCATTGTCCGTTCGCAAATTACCCTCATACTTGATAGTCAACAGCCAGCTGGTACCTTCCTCAAAGGTAAGATCCTTGGCGGACAGCTTTAGGAACTCACGATCTGTATCATGAGTGATTTCCAGTGCAGTGTCAGTTGTCTCTCCATCCTTGCGTATGGTCGCCGTAAAGTTTTCCAGCTGTCGCGCATGCACCACAATAATTGTGCTGGTCTCCAAAACGTTTATGCTTATGGCAACCGTGCCGCTAAAAGCTGTATCGCCCGTATGAACATTCGTGTGCAGCTCGACGGTATATTCCACAGGTTCCGTGTTGTTGGGCAACCGATAGGTGTCTTCGTCGGCACGTGGTGCTAAACGCGAATTGGGATTCTCTAGCTGCTGCAGCTGCTCAAAAGGGGGAAAATTCCGTACAACGGCCGCGTGGGCTGTGGTGGCCACCACCAGCAGCAGGGCCAAGATCGTGACAAGAACGCGAGCCATGTTGTCAACGGTGCGGACAACTGGACAACAACTAGGTAGTGCTTGGTTGCTTTCCACTTTTAAGCCAAATTGTCGCCCCAACCGAGACAATTTTACGCCCGTACATATGAACTAGTGGAGCTCGTCTTATCGCCTAGCCAGGCATAAAGATTATTTTAATCATTCAGGGCCGCCCCTAAGCCTTGCCACGCCCCAATTCAATTGGTTGGCCAACAAATGCCGTAAATCAAAGAAACGATCTTTGAATTGGCTATGTTAAGTGGAACGCGTGCGCCTTGGCGTATAGCCAATTGAACTCCTTGAATACGGTTGTCAGGTGTGGATGAGAGGTTAGATAAGAAATGAAGTGGACGCCAATTCAAGATACTAATGTCATTTGATGATAAGTAGTTATATTACCTATTAAGATAATGTATCTCCAATTAAAAACTATAATAAAAATTCTAGTGAAGAAACCTAAATTTACCGACTATTTGAATTTAATTTATCAGTCAAAAACGATATACATATAATTAAGAAAATACCGAACAAATCGGCCAGTCACGTGAGAATCAAAGGGCATATACGAAAATGCAAAACTGTTCGACTAGAAGATACCCTACACATAGTTTAAAGTTGCCAAGTATCATAACCATTTCCCCCATTTGCAAATATGGTTTTAATATATTAAAGAAAAAAACAATTGAGCTATTCCCAATAAAAACAAAACCAAAAAAAAAACCAGTAAGAGACTTCAGTCGGGACTTCCCGACTAGGGCATACCTTTAACACTCTTCTCCCAACACCAAGTGCAGCTTGCGCTACCTGCTCGCTTGCCTTAGCAATAATAAAAATAAATTATAAAAGAAAATCTTTCAATGAGACTCGAACTCGCTACAGACAGCACTGCCTACCACAGCCTCCACTCAACAGCCAAACCAACAAAAATTGCTCTTGAAGATAACGAATTAAAAAAAAAAGACATACATATCGCAATTGCAATAATGTTGATAAAATGTAATAAAGACGCCCGTAAATGTTTGTGTACATGTATGCCGAAAAATCGTGCAATTTGTGATGGCTGCCGCGAACAGGTGTTCAGCTAAAGCACGTTTTGCTTAATAACTTCTGTGTTTCTTAAACTTGATGAAATTTTCAACAGTAGATCTTATTGTACTAGAGAATATTCGTATAGTCTCAAAAAGACAATTGCATTCGTACTGCGGGGGCATTAGGAAACCCAAATTTCATGTCTCTAGCTCATATGAGCTCTTAGGACATACAGAGCGGAAGAAGGATATGACTTGATCGACTGGGATATGAATGTCGATTTTAAAGAATATGAAAACTATCGAAAGATAATCAAAATATTAACAGGTTATCGTAGTTCGGGTTATCGAAAAGCACAGCTTTTCTTTGAAACTTGGAAAAATCCAGTTAAAGATCGATTTTGATGCAGAGCATCACAGTCCTAAAGGATCTTCATTGTAATGTCTCAGATTGTCAGATTTTCAGATGAACACGATTCGATCGGATACCAGTTTCTTCAATACGTACAAATAATGGACTATATTAAGGCCTATTGAATCAGGTTTTTTTTTCCAAAACCGAATGAAATTATGACTCTGCCCTTGACAAGCAGCCACTCGAAGCATTCAAGGCTTGTGCGGTTCATAAAGTTCGAGTATTATCGGAATTATGGCCGAATCATGATGTGTACATATGGCAATGACAATTTTATATAGGTTTTAGTCGCAACTATCACGGTTATATTAGTGCTGTGTTAAAGGCGATAAGATTGATCAAACTGAAGTGGGGCCAATAAAACCAAATTCCAGTTAATCAAACTATAGCAATTATTTTTAAAGGTGCTGCTACAAAAAAAAAAAAAAATGTAAATATTTCACCACATTTTAAAATACAAAAGCTGCGAAATATATGTGTATACTATGAATGTATTTACAAGAATAACGGAGGGGGAATTACTTAGATTTGTTATCGATTTATTTTCTATAAATATAAATTCAATTGAATCTGTACAACAGCAGAGTTACGAACATTGCCAGTATGGCGAATGTGGAGGCAGAGAGGGAGCTGCTGCCGTTGGTTCGATAGGCAACTAACCAGTTTATGACCGGCTCACGATGCACATCCAACCAATCAAAGTTGCTCTTCATGTTGGCCTGTACAGCGGTCTCTGTGTTATCTGCAAGATACTCAGCTCCGTTGGTCCTGACTGTGTCCACCAGCGCATTAAGCTGTAATGAAAAAATCATGAAAATGTGGCACTATTTTTAATAGAATTTTTAGCTTACGCGATTCTTTTGCGACTCGCTAACCACCGAGCTGGCAATACCGCGCAATGCTGAGTCCAGTGGCTTTTGAGTGCCCGTGCCCAGGTCGCCGTAAGCCTTCCAATTCGCTTCCAAGAAGTCCAAGCTAGCCGTAAGACCCGCCTCGCTCCTGGTGTAGGCAGCACTCAATACGGAGGTGCGCTCCGAATAGCTTAGATTGTTTGTCTCATCGATGGAGTACGCTACAAATTTCTTTAGCTGGTCAGCATCCTGCGCGCAGCCTAGCGAAGAGATATATGTGCTGCGATCGGTGGCATCATTGGAGTTCAGCAGATTGTTAACAACTAAATTAAAGGTTGCATCCTCGGCCTCGCGCAGCCCGGCGCAATAGGCCTGTGTCCTCAGCGTGGGCTCGATGGGAGCTCCATTATTCAGGGAATCCTGTAGTTTTTTGTGCGACTGTTGATAGCACTTGGAACTGCCCACCTGGCACGCCAGACTGACTAGGGTCACGCGCAGATAGTTGTTTAGATAGTGTTCGCCAGGAATTTCGTTAACGCCCAGCTTATTGAAGATATTCTCGACCAGTTCAATTACGAACTCGCGGAAATGCACGTAATTTACATCACCGCGCAGATATGTATCATAAATAGTTAAAATGCTATTGGCTGTCGACCAGGGCGCATACTGATCCTCATTTCTCAGATATGCCATCAGCTGAAACAGTGTGGCCTGGCTAAGGCGACCGGTATCCACGAAGCGATACGCATCGTGCAACAGCTGAGCCCGATTGCGCGTATGGAAGGCGTAGGGCTGCTCTAGTAGACCCTGCGAAATTAGCCGATAGTTCTCCTCATCGTACAATATACGATAAAAGCCAGTGGATTGCTTATTTAGAATCAACCAGTCGTCCTTCGATATTTGCACATCGCTCACCGTCAGCTCCTTGACTTTGAGCAAATAGTGGGAGGCGGTGGTGTTGCGATAGTCGGGATTGGAGGCAGAAGCACAGTTAATGGGCACATACCAGGTGGCCTCATTTGCAGCATCCTTGTCATTGAGATAACGTTGCTGTTTAATGGTAAAGGTGCCAGTCTCATAGTTGCGCTCCACGGTTAGCAAGGGAAAACCAGCCTGTGTGGACCAGCTGGAGAATATGTCAGGAACCCCAGCGGGTAATTTGAGGCCAAGCTCATCGGCTGCTTCCTGCAGTGAGGCGAACAAATTCCACTCGTCTGTGGAGTTGTATTGACTGGGGGAAACAAATATTTATAATTATAAGTAAAAGCTAACAAACACATAGATCTTTACAAATAAAGCTTCTAAAAAATTAGTTCGAAGGTTGGAGGAGAGACAAATTGTACTTTCCCTTATACAACCTTAGTTCTATTGGAATTTCAAAAAGCACGATCATCAGTCATCAGTTTGTCAGTAAATCGGAACTAATAGAACTTCCATTTGAAATACTCACTTTTCTGTTAGATATCTGTTTAGGCCACGTTGAAACACAGCATCGGTAAAGGCATTCTTGAACATGTACAACACACTCGCTGGCTTGGCATAGGATATGGTACCATAGCGTCCCGATATCTCATTGGGTGTTTGGACATAGTGCGACATGGGCGTAGATATGGATGCATCATTAATCAGGGCGCTGTTGTAGTCACTCACATGAAAGATCTGATAGGTATTCCATTCGGGAAAGGCTATATTATTGGATTCATATGAAAAGAGGGTGGCGAAACCCTCTTTGAGCCACAGATAGGTCCACCATTTGAGCGATACCAAATCACCAAACCACATGTGCGCATACTCGTGTCCAATAATATTAGTAATGCTCGTTTTGAGATTAATCGTGGATGTCTCCTTGGTCCACCACATGTACTGCTCCCGATAGGTGGCTAAGCCCCAATTCTCCATGGCGCCGGCTGAAAAGTCCGGTATGCCCGCTTGATCTAGTTTGGGTAGCGCAAACGGCACACCGAGGTATTTTTCCAAGCTTGCCTCAACTACTAGGCCGGACCAGAGTGTCCACTCCTGTTGATCCTGCTTGCCCTTGCGCGAAAATACTCGTTGCGGTAAACCATTTAGCTCGCCGCCTGTGGATTCAAACTCCGAGACAATAAAGGCTATTAAATAGGTGGACATCTTGGGTGTTGTTAGGAAAACCGTTTTGCCGTTGCTATCATAAGATCGATGTTGATTAGAAAATCGTCCATAACCCACTTGAAATTACACTTACCTCGATTCGGCTTCGTTCACTGGCATGTTACTGATGGCATTGTGGCTGGGATCGTGATGGATGGTAATCGTAAAGTTGGCCCGCTTGGCTGGCTCATCGTAGCAGGGGAAGGCGTGACGCGCATTGGTACTCTCGAACTGTGTGGTGGCCAGATAGCTGAAGAGTAAGCCGTTGAATTATCAAATCGATTCATTCATATACTTCAATACCAATGAACTTACTGTACGACATTGCTGTCATCCGTGTAGGTGGATATATAAAAACCGCCCATATCGTCGCGCAACAGCCCCGTATAGTTGATGCTTAGCGTCCAGTTACTGTCTTTGGCAAAGCTTATTGTGCTGTCGACCGGCTTGAAGGTTAGAAATTCGCGTGTGAGTTCATAATCCACATTCAGACTTATCGGTGCACTCGTCGCAGAATCCTTGCTTTGAAGTACGGCTTCAAAATTTTCAGTTTGACGCGCATGCAGAGTAATTGTATTGGAGGCCTCGACCACCTGCAGGTCAATAGAGACACT